GAACTGGCCCTTCCTGACAACATTTCCAAAGTATGAGAGACAAAGACCCGTCATCCTGGCTTCTAAGGAGCATTCTGGTCGTACTTCTTTCAACACAGATTTTGTTTTGTTTTTCTGACAGTTTAGTGCTTTTAATATTCTTCTCCAACACCATAACTCAAATCATTATTTCTTCTACAGTCTTCCTTATTCATTATCCAACTTTCACATGCAAATGAGGCTACTGAAAATACCATGATGGCTTGAGGCAGGCACGCCTTAGTCCTCAAAATGATTCTGTCTTTGCTATTGAACAGTTTAAAGAGGTTTTGTGCAGATTTGTCTAATGCAATATGTCATTTGATTTCTTGACTGCTGCTTGCTTCCATGGATGTTGACAGTGGATCCAAGCAAAATGAAGTCTTTGACAACTTCCATTTTTTCTCCATTTATCATGATGTTATTGATTGGTCCAGTTGTGAGGATTTTTTTCTTTATATTGAGATGCAATTCATACTAAAAGCTGTGGTCTCTGATCTTGTTCAGTATTTTAAGTCTTCTGCACTTCCAGCAAGCAAGGTTGTATCATATGCACATCACATTTTGTTAATGAAACTTCCTTTAATCCTGATGCCACATTCTTCTTCATATAATACAGCTTCTTGGATTACTTACTCAGCATACAGATTGAATACATATGGTGAAAGAGTGTAACTCTGGTGCACACTTTTCCTGATTTTAAGCCATTCCATATCCCCTTGTTCTGTTCAAACAACTGCCTCTTGGTCTATGTACACGTTTCTCACGAGCACAATTAAGTATACCGGAATACCCATTCTTTGCAATGCTACCCATAGCATGTCATGGTCCATACTGTCAAATGCCTTTGCGTAGTCAATAAAACACAAGTAAACATCTTTCTTATTTCTCAGAAACAAAATACATACAGCAAGCAAGAATATAACACTATGGTTAAACCATTAATAGTGACAATACTTTGATGAAAAAAATGTCAAGTGACTCCTGAGTGCTTGCACTCCTTGCTCTGACACTGAAGGCCTACCTCTTCACACTGGTCTTATTTGCCAACATTGATGCATTCTGTTAAACTTCTCAGTTCTTCAACATGTCACCTTGTCCACATATCTGTTCTCTAGTGCTGGTATATCAGAACTACTACTAGTGTGTGGCTTTAACAAACAGATTTATGTGCTCAGTTTAAGAGGCTGCAAGTCTGAATTCAGGGTGCCAACTCTAGCCTTCCTCTCTGTGTTGACTGACTCTAGGGGAAAGTCTCTTCATTTTCTGTTCCTTGGTTCCTTGGCAATCTTGTGGCAAGATATTTAAGTTCCTCCATCTGTGGTTGCTTCTGTACCTAGTCTGCTCACTTTGTATCTTGAAGGCAATTGGCTTAAAATACACCCTAGACTGATATACTGTCTTTAACATAATAAATCCCAAATGGCATTACATCATAAGCACAGGGGTTCCAATTTATACCACATAGTTTGGGGGGTGGGGTGGGGAAATACAGTTTAATCCATAACATCATGTAATCATAATCACTCTTCCAGCAGTTAGTGACCTTTCCTCTCTGAGCTTCTATAGCCCTCAGTTTACTGCCTGCACGGTACTTATTGGATTGCCTTATTTGTGTGCAAGTCTTACTGATTTCATTATATTTAGTCCAAGTTTGAGCATATATGTGTACATAACTCTCACATATATAGATAGATGTTTTCTCCTTTCCATTGCCTAGCAGAGAAGGTACTCAAAAGTATTTCTCTATGAATTTTTTCCCCCTCTACAGAGATTATTTTGGCTTTGAAAGAACAAAAAGTATGATAGGAGGTACGTGGTCTTTGTTAATCTGTCATTTATGCATGTGTATAATGCTTCTGGAGTCCTGGTGTGGTGCTGCAGGGTAATACACTAGAACACAAAATCGGTTTGAACTGCAAGGTCGGTGGTTCAAATTCATCAGCCACTCCTCAGAAACCCTATATAGGGTAGTTATGAGTTGAAACCAACTCGATAACACTTAACAACAACAATGATGCTTCCTGGTTTGTAAAAAGTGTTCACACCCATTTTATTTAAAATAAGAAAAAATGAACAAAGTAGACTGTAATCAAGAGATATTAACAAATAATTACATAAAGACTAAAGAGGAAAAGAGAAATGGCTAGCTCTTTGGTATAAAAGGTGAATTTAAAAGGAAACAGAAAAGGCTAGAAAAGATTGAGTAGAAAAAGTCCAAAATTCTGATAAGCAAAAAAAGGTTTTAGCTTGAAGTTAGAAGACCATGAAGGTAATAAAAGACTGTTGTTGTTAAGTGTCATTGAGTCAGTTCCAACTCATAGCGACCCAATATATAGGGTTTCCAAGGAACAGCTGGTGGATTTGAACCACCATCCTTGTGGTTCAGTCTAGTGCTGATCCTACAGTGCCAAATCAGGAGTCCATATGAAAGACTACAGAATTAATAATTGGAGAACCCTACAGTTTGGAAAGTGTCCCTAATCAGCCTATGGTAATCAGAGTAGGAATTCAGAAAGGGTGTTTTTGAGAATATGCAAAAACACTATGGTAGTGACTGAACAAAACACTACCAGGGATTTAATCAGAAATAGAAGTCATTCATTCATGGCATGGCCTGGCAATGCTGGGTGCCAGTGAAATATACTCTAGGAAGTAGATATAAGCCTTTGAAGGATACAGTAGAAAGTGATTTGGATGAAAACAGGCAATAGCATGAAATTCTTATTTCTTGTGATTAATGCACGGCATCAAGTGATACTTTGGATACAAAGTGATACTTTGGATACTGTAGAATCCTTTGATTGGATACCAAGATTTCCAATGTGCTCTGACAGATACATTTTCTCTTACAGTCTGCACCCAGGGTTCTATCCCACCAGCTACCTGTTATCTTCCTATCTCCAACGCAAAGAGAAAATTTGAAATCATGAATGACACTTGTTATACATATTTGGTGTGAATTCACTTGACCTGGAGAAGTTTGAGTTTAGTTGGCATTACCTTTGACTCACAGTCAGGGGAGAAAGAGATAAAGATGGTAGCTTGGTGCTTGGTTAGACCTAAGTGGTGGTGTTGTTAAGTGCCATTGTATAGGGTTTCCAAGGAGCAGCTGGTGGGTTTGAACTGCTGACCTGTTGTGGTTCACAGTCCAGTGCTGATCCACAGCACCACACCAGAAGTCCAGACCCAAGGTAACTAAAACCAAACCCACTGCCTTAGAGGTGATTCTGATTCATAGAACCCCTATAGGACAAAGCAGAATTACTCCCTAGAGTTTACAAGGCTATAAATCTTTATGGAAGCAGACTGCCTCATCTTTCTCCTGAGGAGATGCTGTTGGATTCAAACTGCTGACCTTTTAGTTAGCAACCCAATGCTTAACTCACTGACACCAGGGCTCCTACAAGGAGCTGTTGAGTACTATAGCTCCAACAAGCCTGATAGAAGTTTATCAATATTTTATTCATTTTTAATCTGACTTGATAAACTGAGTTTTTTTCTTTGCTTTAATGTGTAATATTTCTTCCAAAAGAGCAGCAATATTAGTATGAACTAACATAATGTTAACTGAAAAATGAGAGCCATCTTACGAGAAAGAAGCTATTTAATTCATTCTTACTCTGAGTACTAGGGCGATGAAGAGATGAAGAAACCTCATTCCAACTCAGCCAATCCTTTGTACTTGGCAACAAATAGATTTACCTAGAATCTAGTGGATCGGAGTCAGACATAAATATAAATGGCTTTGGTTAGAAATTTCTCAAAATTCTAAACAGCATTAGATTTTCAGAGCTATAAAGGTAACCTCACCAGTACATTTAATAAATATTTATTAGCACCTATGACCAAGGCACAGTGGGGGTAGAAGACCTCAGGAATCTGACAAAGTCAAGGACAACTCATTATAGACAAAATCAATGTTCAAAGGAGCAGCGCCATAATCATAGCTCTCCACTCAGGCAGTGTGATAAGTACCCTTGGCCAGCCTGGAAGCCCATATAAACTCGATGTGTAAGAACTAACCATTTTAGGTTCAGCTTCCTCACAACTTCCACAGATTCCTATCAAACAAGTTGTTTTTCCAGTCACCTTCTAAAATCTGAAAGATAATTAGTCTCAGCCAGACTCCATATTTTCTAACACCTAATGGTGTTTAGTGCTAAATCAAAGCTCCTCAACAGTTTTTATAGTTTTGAGGAACTCCAGGGAGGCTTCAGTACCATTAGGAATTAGTTCCACCTTTGGCATGTACAGCATGGATCACTGGGAAAGAATTCTTTTCCCAACATGGCTTCTCTGATGTTGAGCAAGGTATGAAGTTCGGGTGAAGCCTTTTCCACATGCATCACACTGATAGGGTTTCTCACCAGTGTGGATTTTCTGATGTTCAATAAGGCTTCTATTTTGAGTAAAGCTTCTGTCACACTCATTACATTGATAAGATATGGAAGCTTCCACATTTTCCCATTGGTTTCCCATTCTAACCTGGCCTTCCCAGTTCTCTCCATGTTCAGAATCCTGAATGTTTTTGTCCCCACCATGGATCCTCTGATGTCTCAGGAGATGTGAATTCCGCCTAAAGGCTTTTCCACACATATTGCACTGGTAGGGTTTCTCCCCAGTGTGGATTTTGTGATGTTCAAGGAGGCTGCAGCTTTGACTGAAGGTTTTCCCACAGTCGTCACACTCATAGGGCTTCTCCCCCGTGTGGGTTCTCTGGTGTTTGATAAGGTTTGAACTGTGACTGAAGACCTTGCCACATTCTTCACACTCATAGGGCTTCTCACCAGTGTGAACTCGCTGATGAATGACAAGGGCAGAGCTCCCGATGAAGGTCTTGCCACAATCTTCACATTCGTAGGGCTTCTCTCCAGTGTGGATTCTTCTATGCTTAGTCAAGCCTGAACTCTGAGCAAAACTCTTTCCACACTCATGGCAGTAGTGTCGCCTACTTCCTATGGTAATTTTCTGCTTTCTGTGTAACCTGCCCTCCTGTCCGCCAGCTTCTGCACATGGAGGAATCTGGGCGATGTCTTCACCCAGGTAGTATGGGCTCTCCCCAGGCTCTTGTACTAGATGCTCCTCATCAGGAGACAAGTCTCTGATCTTAGTCTGTATTTCACCACCTGAAACAACAAACAACTGGTGATTGTCACTTTTGCCTTGTCATGGGAGGGAAGCTCTGTGCTGAGTACCAGGGAGGCAAGACTTCAGGGGTCTGTTTATGTTAGGTATGAGGGCTTGAAGGCAAGAATGAGAATGGTCATAAGGGGGAAAACAGGAGTGCTGAGAAGAAAGGAGACTGGAGACTAGGCAGGATTCGATACTAATAGGGAGGAGCAGGAGGCTATAGTAAAGGAGGCAAGTGAAATGGGTTCTGAGGCATTCAGTAAGAAAGAGGGAAAAGGAGGACTCAAACTAGTTATTGACCTATGGAAAAAGAAGTCATTTCAGACTGCAAAATCAAACTGGCTTTGTGTTGGGAGAGCTGAGTCGGAGCCTCTGCTGTGCTGACAATGAGCTGTGTGAACTCAGACAAGTCACCTAACGTCTGCTCTCCACATCCTCAGCTCTAAGCTCTCCCACTCTATGGCCAAGTCTGTATTAGATGCTTTATCTACTTCACCCACTCATCCACTCTGACTAGAGAATGGTTGTTGTTGTTGTTATGTGCCGTGGAGTCCAACTCATAGCGACCCTGTACAGGGTTTCCAAGGCTGTAAATCTTTACGGGAGCAGAAAGTCTCATCTTTCTCCTATGGAACAGCTGGTAGTTTCGAACTGCTGACTCTGAGGTTCACAGCCCGACTCGTAACCACTATGCTACCAGAGCTCCTTTTAGGCCAGATAAAAAAAGTAGGGCTAAGGAACTAGTCACACAGCTAGTCAGCAGTGAGGGTTCCGAAATGGTGGTTCTTAAACCAAACATAATAGGGCTTCTAGCAGCAGCCCAGTAGGTTCTAATACAAAAAAGAAGCCAAGAAATCTTAAGAGAAATGAGTGCCCACCATCTTACCCAAGATGAGGTTGCCACTGTCCTCTTGTCTCTCATCTAAGTAGAGGTTTGCTTGAGATGAGTCCAGCTGTGCCCATGCAGGGGGAAGGGTCAGAGTCACATCTTTCACTTTCAGCAGGCCCTAAAACAACAAACAATCCCCTCTAGTTACTCTTGCTCAAGGTCACTCTCCAAACTGGGCACTGCAATGTGTATGCAAAGAATGAATGTCCTGTTAAAGGGGCCTGTAAAACAGAATAGGTAAGGGCCCCCTACACCTACTTAACATTATATTTAGTAACACACACATTCACAGATATATATACATGGAGTCAAAGTGTGGCACACTGGACTACTAACCAAAAGGTCAGTTGTTCAAACTTACCAGATGCTCCTCGGAAACCCTATACAAGGTAGCTGTAAGTTGGAACTGACCCAAAGGCACTTAACAAAAGCAATTATAACATTTGATCCTTGAACGACAAAAACCTGCCCCCCTCCCCCTGTTGATTAGGACCCCTTCCAATACCATAAAAAGTTTATTTATATGTGATTTTATATGTCATATGTATTATATAGAGTCCTGGCGTGGTGGTATAGGATAAGACTGGACTGTAAACCATAAGGTTGGCAGTTCAAATCCACCAGCTGTTCCTTGGAAACCCTACACAGGGTCTCTATGAGTCATAACCGACTCCACAGCACTTAACAACAACAATACCAAAATAAAAGCTGCACCCACATAAAAGCTGCATTTTCAATATAAGATAAAAAGGTATTTCACAAAAAATGTAAGCTTTACATGCCTGCTAGTGTAGATGCTTAATGGAGAAAAGATTGAAGTTGTCAAAGACTTCATTTTGCTTGGATCAACTATCAACACTCATGGAAGCAGCAGTCAGGAAATCAAATGAAGTATTACATTGGGCAAATCTGATACACAAGACCTCTATAAAGTATTCAAGAGCAAAAATGTCAGTTTGAGGACTAAGGTGCGCCTGACTCAAGCCATGGCATTTTCAATAGCTTCATATGCATGTGAAAGTTGGACAGTCAATAAGGAAGACCATAGAAGACTTGATGCATTTTAATTATGGTGTTGAAGAAGAGTATTAAAAGTACCATGGAATGCTAGAACACACAAGTCTGTGTTAAAGGAAGTACAATCAGAATGCTCATTAGAAGCCAGAGTAGTGAGACTTCGTCTCTCATAACTCCAGAAACATTATCAGGAGGGGCCAGTCCCTGGAAAAGGACATCATACTCAGTAAAGTGGAGGGTCAGCAAACAAAAAAGGAAAGCCCCCAATGAGATAGATTGGCACCGTGGCAGCAGCAATGGGCTTAAGCTTAGCAGTGATTGTGAGGATGGCACAGGACTGGGCAGTGTGTTGTTCTGTTGTGCATAAGGGTGTTATGAGTCAGAACTGGCTCAATGGCACCTAACAACAGTACAGATGCAGAGATAGCTTTATGAAATTTCTTTTCTTATAACAGTCCTTACATTGGATTCATGTATCTTGAAATGGTGGGCAACCTCAGCTGCAGACCTCAATCTATGGTACATAACAAGCAATTCAACTTTTATTTATAGTAACATGACTTTCCCCTGCTTCTTAGGAGCACTTTCAGCACCACCATTCATACTTCAGATGGGCCCCAGGTTGTTATTTAAGGTTTATGGTATTATACTAAACACAATGAAAACTATGCAAGATCTGGGAGAGATAACTTTTAACAGATAGACAAATGACTAGAGAGATGAACTGCTCACATGATTAGTGTCACATAATGTTTTTCAAAAATCCACATATAAGTGGACCTGCACAGTTCAAACCGGTATTGTTCAAGGGTCAACAGTATATATAAAACAACCATTAAAGGAAGACAATGTTTCAGTATAAATACCTAGACACCAGTCCAAAAAGTGAAAATATTTGGAAAATAAGAGCACAGTGAAAGGAATGAACTAGACCCAAAACTTTCAAAAGATTTGTGTTGTGCTTTTTTAACAACCCTATACAAGGTTTCTGACACTCTAAATTTTGGGGAGCAGACAGCCTCATCTTTCTTCCAGCTGGTGAGTTTAAACTGCTGAGCTGAGGTTAGCAGTTCAGTGCTATCCTACAGCACTACATTATATCAGTGAGAAAAATCAGGAAAAAACAGATACTAGAGCACCTCAGGAAAAAAGATACTATAATCCTAGTGTGGTGGGTTAATGCACCAGCCTGGAAAGCCGTTTGAACTGCAATTCAAAAGTGATTCAAGCTCAGCTGCTCCTCGCAAACCCTATACAGGGTCGCTATGGGTCAGAACCAACTCGACAACACTTAACAACAGCACCTGAAACACTGAGATATTCAAATAAAACATGAAAGTGTAGGTAAGAAACGAGACTCCAGTTAAGATTGCTCAGATACCATTGTTGTTGTTAAGTGCCTTCAAGTCACTTCCAACTCATAGCAACCTGTATAGGGCTTCCAAGGAGCAACTGGTGGGTTTGAACAAACAACCTTGTGGTTGGCAGTCCAGTGCTTATCCAACAGGGCTATACCAGGACTCCAGATGGCATCATTAAATCTAAGTAAAGGACAAGCCTTATGTGTTTTCAAGTGTAAACTCATTTAGGGCAGATTTATGTCTTTATATCCTTCTCTAATAGCAGTTTGTAATACTTAAAAAAAAAAAAAAAAGCACCATCACATTGGACCCTCAGTTTCTATTTGTTGAATTGCCTTTATTGAAGAAGAAATCCCACTGATGAAGAAACTGCCAAAATAGACAGGGTAGAAAAGACCTGGGAAGCAGAGACAACTCTCTAAGTTAGTAGTAAAAAAAGGAAAACCTTTTACATGGGCACCAGAATGAAGACAAACAATGGTGAACAACCTTAGGATAGATGAAAAAAACTCAAATTCCACGTGGATTGGTATAGAGATGGAGTGGAAGGGAGGGCCATTTGTGGGCAGCCCAAGAGTAGTGAAACGTGTGGGCGACAGGGGGGACCTCCAGCTCACCTGGGACTCTGGAATGAGCCTGGCAGCTGCCTCTGTGTCTTCTTTGCAGCTTCCTCCCTGAGCAAGACCAGGAACTTGAAGAACTAAGAAGGAAAGAAGCTATGGATTAGATCTACCCTGACATTTAGTTTCCCCACCTCATGGAATTCAAGTTCAAAAATTCAACTAATAAATTCCTGCCAAACAAATACACAGTGTTTCCAAAATGCCTGATCCCTACCAGCTCCAATCCTTGGGCATGTGAGAGCAGGTGTATTCCTGCAGAGCCAAAAAAAACCGGGCAAAATCGGTGGTGGTTGTAGTGTTCCAGGTCCAGTGCAGTCAGTTCAGACTCCAAACAGCCCTATGTACAATAAAACCCAGTCTGGTACTACCTATCTTCACAATCTCTCCTACGTTTGAGCCCATTAGTGTACCCATTGTGTCAGTTCATCTTGTTGAGGGTCTTCCTCTTTTTCATTGACCCTCTACTTTACCAAGCATGATGTCCTTTTCCAAGAACTGGTCTCTCTTGATAGCATGTCCCAAGTATAACATGACCAAGTCTCATCATCCTAGCTTCTGAGAAGCATGCTGACTGTACTTCTTCCAACAGAAATTTGTTCTTCGGCATCCCGTGGTATATTCAATATTATTTGTCAACACCATAATCAAAGGTATTAATTCTTTAGTCTCGTTATTCATTATCCAGCTTTCATATGCATATGAGAACAACTGAAAAATCCCATGGCCTAGCAGGAATGGTGAAATGAAAGCAATATAAAAACAATGTGAAAAGAGCTCTCTGTTTGAAGATCTTTTTATCTTGAATTTTGCTGGAGTAGGGAGATAAAACAGGATTTTTGGTTAAAATTGTTTTACTACTTGTAAGCGTAGTAGTTATGAGTCAGGCTGCTAATCTCAAGGTCAGCAGTTTGAAACTACCAGTGGCACTGCAGGAGAAAGATGAGGTTTTCTGCTCCCATAAAGATTTACAGCCTTGGAAACACTGTACAGTGTTACTATGAGTCAGAATCAAATTTACAGCATACAACCACCATCATCACCACCAGTGCATTTTCTACTTTCATTATAAAAAATTAAGAGGAGTCAGACAACGCTGGGCCCAGAAAGGAAGAAACAAGAGTCCACTTGCATAGGACTTGCTCAAATTCAGGAGAGGGAAAAGTACAAAACTTCAGGTTTACTTGTAGGAAGTGAATTTTGCAAAGCAAGAAAACAAGTTGATTTAAGCCAAAATCGCTGCTGAGAAATAAAGGTTACATGTTGACTAGAATACTTCAATGTTGTATGCCTTGGGAAACTTCCCAAATGTTCATAGCACCTCAGGGAAAACCCTTGGAATATAGTTTCCTATGGAGTGATTTTCATGCTTTTATGATAACAGACCTAGGGTTTAGATTTACTTATACTCTTTAATTTGCAATAGTCTTATGATTTCTGCAATATTGTGGCCAGCTTTACAGATTTTATCTTATTTTCTTCATAACCCTTGCCATTATTCAAAATTGTGTTATTAACTTATCTTCCTTACTAAATGTAAGTCCATCAGCGCTGGGATCTGTCTCACTAATGACTCTTATCTCCAGCACAAACAATACTAGCTACTATATAGGAAACCTCCAAAAATAAGTTAAATGAATGGAGACCACTGTTTATGTTTTTTAAAAGCCAAGTTTTTCCAAACTCCAATTTTAGTAGAAGCTTAGTCACCATGCTAGTTTGGTTGGGAGAGTTTTTCCATCACTGTAATGAAATCTTATTTTTAGTCTCAGTTTCAAAATAAAGTTGGTCTGTGATAGGTAACTGTGAATGGATCTTTTAGGTGATCCTTTAGTGAAACTGGATGAAGTCTGTAGAATTCATAATGCCCAGAAGATAATCCTCACCTCTGTTTTGTAAGGGTTGGCATCCCAGAGGTTCATGCTTGAGCAGAGCCTTCATCAGCTGAAATTGGCTACTTCGAGACCCGCGGGTTCTTGTCGACAGTGCTGTCTTGAAACAGAGCAGCTCTTGCCCAGGGTCACGAGCTGTGAACTGGAAATCATTCATTTACTTTTATTTGTTCAACACATGTCTGCAGATTTCTTACATACTGGTGGTGGTGGCTATGTGCCGTGGAGTCGGTTCCGACTCATAGCGACCCTGTAGAGGGTTTCCAAGGTTGTAAATCTTTACAGGAGCAGAAAACCTCTTCTTTCTCCCGCGGAACAGCTGGTAGTTTCAAACTGCTGACCTTAAGGTTTGCAGGCCGATTCGTAACCACTACGAAACCAGAGCTCCTGCTAGTACTCTTTATTTCACAGGTGACACTATGGGTTAATGACTGGACTGCAAAGTTGATTTGAGTCACAAGGTCGGTGGTTCAAGCTCACCAGCTGCTCCTCGGAATCCCTATACAGAATCGCTACAACAAGCTCTAAGTGAAATTTAGCATTTCCTTCAATTATGAACATAAGCAATAAACCAAAGTGAGCTGTACTGTGACTTTGTCACCAATAGAAATCACAGATGTTTTCCTGTCACAAATATTCTTAATGGCATCATGCTTATTAACACCTTAAAATTACCAGGATTATTCAACATGACCCTATTTCTTATTATGTTGTTGTTGTTAAGTACCGCGGAGTCGGTTCCGACTCATAGTGACCCTGCATAGGGTTTCCGAAGCTGTACATCTTTACAGGAGCAGAAAGCCTCATCTTTCTCCCGCAAAACAGCTGGTAGTTTCCAACTGCCGACCTTGAGGTTAGCAGCCCAATACGTAACCACTACGCTACCAGAGCTCCTTATTTCTAATTATGTTGTTGTTGTTATGTGCCGTGGAGTCGGTTCCAGACTCAAAGCAACCCTGTACAGGGTTTCCGAGGCTGTACATCTTTACAAGAGCAGAAAGCCTCATCTTTCTTCCGCAAAACAGCTGGTAGTTTCGAACTGCTGACCCTGAGGTTAGCAGCCGGATTCGTAACCACAGAGCTCCTTATTTCTTATTATACACGGCATTGTTAATAATTTTAAAAAAACACTCCATCAAAGTCAATATTTTGCTAACTGCATTCAAATTTATTTTTGTCATCCTTTATATTTTCCTTTGTGCGTTTAAAAAATATTCTGAGTCGAGGTCCAGGGACTTAACTTCACTGCCAAAGAGGTTCATGGTATAGAAGAAAAAAAAAAAGGAAAGCCCCTAGATCTCATGGAATGTTCCTCACGCCAAATTTGAGGTTTTAGGAAGAAATACCCACAGTTCTCACAGTGATTTAGAAATCAGTTGTCTCTACCTGCAGCCTCGGGTCACCAAGCCGCCTCTCCAAATATTCCAACAGAACCACCACCTCCTCCCCGCTCTCGGGATGCTGCTCCCGCACCCAGCTCTGCAGCTCCCCAGGCAGGATGGTCAGGAACTGCTCCAGCACCAGCAGCTCCAGGATCTGTTCCTTGCTGTGCATCTCAGGTTGCAGCCATTGTCGGCAGAGCTCCCGGAGCCGGCGCAATGCCTCACGGGGCCCTGCAGCCTCAGGGTAGCGGAAACCCCGGAAGCGCTGGCGGGAGTGCTCGGGGCCCAGTTGGGGGCTGCCGGACAAACGGGCGTCCTCGGCAAAGGTGGAGGCCTCCTCCTTTTCCACCTTCACCGTCAGGAGCCCCGTCTTCTCCTCTGTAGACTGGGCATACAGGGCTGACCTTGCCCTCGATTCTCTTGCCATCCTGGGTCAAGGCAGTGCTCGGTCCTCACACTAGCGGAGAGCTGTATTCTTTCAGAAGATTCCTGAAAGGTGGGAAATCACTATAACTGTAAGCTCTCTCCTCTCGAGTGTCCAAGGGCCTGGGGCACCCCCCGGGCACAGCTGCACAAATTGATCCCTACAGATCCCTACAGAGCCTTCTCTGTGCTTCACACTGAAATGAGTAGCGCAAAGGATGTCTTGGGAGTGCGAGTAAATATTCCCCAAACGCAGAAGACAGTTGCGGTGGGAGCACGGGAAGCTTCGGTGGGAACCTAAGCAACTTCCTGGTCTCTCTAGGAGCCTCCTCTCGTTGATTTCTCCGAGTTAACCCATTAGCTAACTCGTCCTTACCTATAGTTAAGGGTCTGATGTTAACAGAAAGAAAAAGGATGGCAACTTGTAGATTTAAAAAAGTAGGGCTGGCTCGACCCTGGGCGCCGGCTTGTGAGACTTAATTCTCCTGATTTAAGGCTTGCCCAAAGAACTGGTATAAAATTCACACTAAGATTCGCCTGTAAAGTGGGCTTCCCCACAGGAAAACCTTTTGTTTGTGTGAGAAACATCAAAGAAACAGAAAAAGGCACTTGTAGTTACTGCCCCTGGTTCTCACCTCTCTCAAGCTGCCACTCTCTTTCCTTCCCTTCAGGGCAAAGTTTCTTTAAAGAGAGTCTTCCTGTCCCCAACTGTAGTCTTCACCTCCCATTCACCCCTCAATACACTGTAAGCAACAAACCACCACCACCACCACCAAGAGTCTCCTGCAGAAGTAACCTGAAATGCTGGCCCCAATTACCACCTTCCACTGTCTTTTGTCAAGCAACCAGGTTGATAGTGCTGTCCACTTATAGAAACTCTCATCCCTGGCTTCAGAGACTCTGTTCTCTTGTTTTCCTTCTATTTCTTCCCAGTTCCAATTCTCAGTCTGGCACAGCAGACTCTCAAGCCAGGCTACCTGTGTTCATGATCTTGGCTTTGCCTGGTACTAGTTGGATGACACCTGTAATATGCACATAACAGCCTTGCTTGCTGAAATTGAAGAAGACTTGAAGTATTTACTGATGAATATTCAAGACTATAGCCTTCAGTATGGGTGGCACCCATAAGTGTGAAAATGAAAATTCTCACATATGGACTAACAAATAATATCATGATAAATGGAGAAAAGATTGAAGTTGTCAAAGGCTTCAGTTTATTTGGATTCACAAATAACACTCATAGAAGCAGCAGTCAAGAAATCAAACGATGCATTACATTAGGCAAATCTGCTGCACAAGACCTCTTTAAAGTATTTAAGAGCAACAATGTTGGCTTGAGGAATAAGGTGCACCTGACTGAAGGCATACTGTTTTCAATTGCCTCATATAAATGCAAAGGCTGGATAATGAATAAGGAAGATCGGAGAAGAATCGATGAAAGTCCCATGGGCTGCCAGAAGAAGAAAAAAATCTGTTTTGGAAGAAGTATGGCAGATTGCTGCTTACAAGCAATGATGTTGAGATTTGCTTCTTATACTTTGGACATGTTGTCAGGAAGGACCAGACTCTGGAGAAAGACAACATGTTTGGTACAGTAGAAGGTCAATGAAAAAGAGATAGATTCCCAACAGATGAATTGACACAGTGACAACAATAATGGGCTCAAACATAACAACTGTGAAGATGAGACATGACCGGGCAGTTTTTCCTTCTGTTGTTCAGAGGATCTCTATGAGTAGGAACAGACTCCACAGCAGCTAACAACAACAATTGGATGGCAAGGTGTCCTGGTGGCTCAGTAGGTAAGCACTCAGATGCTAACTGGTGCTTTCAACCCACCAACTAACTGGTCCGAGGGGAGGTGGGGCTGCCAAGATGTGGCTGTTGACTTCTCTAAAGATTACAGACTCAAATCCAACCTTAGATGGGCGCTATGAGCAGGAATTGATTGGCAGCAAGGAGCAGAGGCAAAATGGAGTAAGAGCACCCAGGAACAATCTGTAAATTTGGTCTCCCGCCCCACCCCTCACTGCTGGATGTGTTGACTGGGGTGGTGGATGCGGAGGGGGGAAGCCTGTGATTTGCCAGTCAGCCTTGTATGGCACCCCTTTGGACTTGAGTCCAGGTTCGAATGCCCACTTCTAACCTTTTCTTGCTATGCCTCTGGCTATGAGTTTGGTTTTTTGAACTGGATGACCCTGGTAAGTTACTTATCCTCTCTGTGCTTCATTGTCCTCATCTATAAATAGGATAGTAATAGTAGATAGGGATGTTGTGTGCATTAATTGAATTCTTTCTGTGCAAAATTCTTAGAAAAAATGTCTGGACAGTGATAAATTGGCATACTGTCAAAGGCAAGGAAGCTTTGAGATTCCTTTGAATCAGATGGGGCTAATTTTACACCAAAGTGACTATAAAGTTATTTGATTGGGTTGATAAGACAGTAATACCTTTCTATCTAGTGGAATGGGAGGACTACAAATGTAAAGTTGGCGAACAATGAGCAAAATATATATCTTACACACCTTCCTGAATTTTTATTCTTAAATCTACCCTTCAATATTTCAAAGAACAAATAAGAGGAAGGACGTAGCAAAAGGAAAGGTACAATCAGCTAATACAAATCAAAGTGCTAAAAAAACAAAACAAAAAAAAAAAACCTTCTCTCTTAATCTGACAGACACTGCCCATGAAGTATTGAGCAAAATAAAGCATGAATCTAATTAAGCTTCTAGATCCAAATACTAGTGTAAAGGTGAGACCCAGGGCCAAGTTAGAGGAACAGTTTCAAAACTTAGGTACACATTAGAATCTCTGGGGAGTTTTAAAAATATCTAGATACTTGGTTAAATCAGATTTCAGGTGATGCGATTCAGGCATCAATAACTTTTTAAATGACCTAGGTGATTCCAACATGCAACTAATTTGGAGAACTAATGAGTTAAATGCTATTAAAAAGAAGCCTCCATCAAATCCATAGTGTGAAGTAGGACATGATAGAAGACCCAGGTTCTTCAACCAATAAAGGGCATTTTCTAAAAGTGGGCAAAAGGGGAACTACCCCAGACTGAAATAGACTGAATAGATATAGCTGTGATTGTTATAAGAATTTGTGTCAGTTTGGCTGGGCCAGAATACTCAGTGGTTTAGCAGTTAAGATAGAGTTATCACTTCCATGAGATGAGATCTAATATAATACAGTCAATCCCATGTTATGATTTGTTGTGATATGCTTTGATCTGATGTAATGATGCTATGTTGTAAATCCTTACTTCTGTGATGTAAATGAGGTCAGATGCAATCAACAGGATTAGGTTGTGCCTTAAATCAATCTCTTTTGAGATATAGAAGGAAAGACAAATGAGTTGACCTCAGAGGGACCTGTGGTGGTTGTTGTTCAGTGCCTTCAAGTTGGTTCTGACTCATAGCAACTGTGTATAGGGTTTCCAAGGAGCAGCTGGTGGGTTTAAACTGCCAGTCCAGTGCTGATCTTATAGTGCCATACTAGAGGGACTTACTACCAAAATAGAAGTGCCAGGAGTGGACTGCATCTTTTGGACCTGGGATCTCTGCACTGTGAAGCTCCTGGATCCAAGAGAAAATTGAATCCAAGATATATGGAGATCTCCAAGGAATACTGCGCATACAGATGCTGAAACAGACAAGAACCTTTCTCCAAATCCAGCAAAGAGAAAGTATTCCCCCAAGTGGCAGCATATTCATTTTGGACTTCTAGCCTTCTAAATTGTGAGAGAGAGAGAAAATCTGGTTATTAAAGCCATCTACTTGTGATATTTCTGTTAGAACAGCAATACATAACTAAAATATAATGTACCAGGCATAGGGTGCCGCTCTAGCAGAAACCTAATATGTGGACAAGGAATTGGAGATTGAACAGAGTCTTGTTGTTGTTAGGTGCTATCAAATCAGTTCAGACTCAGAGTACAACAGAATGATCATTGCCCAGTCCAGCGCCATCCTCACAATTGTTATGTTCAAGCCCACAGATGTTACCACTATGCCAATTCATCTCATCAGGAGTTTTCCTCTTTGCACAGACCCTCTGCTTTACCAAGCACAATGTCCTTCTTCAAGGATTGGGCCTTTTTGAAAACATGTCTGAAGTAAGAGACACAAAGTCTCACCATCTTGACTTCTAAGGAGCATTCTGGCTTTACTTTTTCCAGCACAGACTTGTTTGTTCTTCTGGCAAGCCATGGTAATTGTAATATTCTTCTACAACATCATAACTCAAATGCTTCAATTCTTCCTCACTATTCCTCTTCCAACTTCCACATGTATATGTTGCTGTTGTTAAGTACCATCGAGTCAATTCCAACTCACAGCAACTCTTCATAGGCTTTCCAAGGAGTGAATGGTGAGTTTGAACCACCAACCTTGCAGTTCAAACTGACCTTGCGATTTAGTGCTTATGTTGCAGTGCCACATCAGAAATCCTATGACTTGGGTCAGGCACACCTTAGTTCTCAAACTGTCATCTTGCTCTTAAACACTTTAAAGAGATCTTGTGCCACAGATTTGTCTTATGCAATACCCAGTCTGATTTCTTGGCTGCTGCTTCCATGAGTGTTGATAGTGGATCCAACCAATATGACCTTGACAAATTCAATCTTTCATTCTTATATCATGATGTTATTTACTGGTCCAGTAGTGAGGTTTTTTGTTTTCTTTATATTGAGGTGCAATCCATACTGAAGGCTGTGGTATTTGATCTTGATCAGTAAGTAATTTGTCCTTTTAGCTTTCAGCAAGCAAGGCTGTTAATGTGTCTTCCTCCAATACTGATGCCATGTTTTTCTTCATATAATCCAGCTTCTCAGATTTGCTCAGCATACTGATTGAATAATAAGTGTGGTAATAGTATATAACCTTGTTGCACATCTTTCTTGATATTAAACTATTCAGTGTCCCCTTGTTCTGTTCAAACAACTGCCTCTTGGTTTATGTACAGGTTCTTCATGAGCACAATTAAGTGTTCTGGAA